AAAAAAAAATGATGGGGCCACAAGGAGCTGATATTAGGCAGAAGTGGCACTTTGAGGGTTTCGAGGGGAAGTGGAGGGACTGCACAGCACACAACACGTACACAAGAAGAAATGTTACATCAAATAAGAGATTGTGGCACAAATAAAATCAGGTGGTGGATAATATCTGTTCTTCAGAGATAGCCCAGAGTGGGAGTGGGGGGAGGAGGAGCGAGACAGAAGAGACCGATGCAAGTGTGTTTCTTTTTCTCTTTATGTACAACTAAGGCTTACTGGTTAAATAGTTTTCAGGCTTCCCCGCCCACAATGCTTTTACATGCTGATCTCTCACACACAAAACACACACGCACACACACCCTTCTTCCTTTTGCTCTGTAAACTCAGTGGTTCTATCAGGACAGCAGCCACACAATCTAGTGGGTTCAATTCGAGGAGGTGCATGGGGAGGGGAGGGATGGATGAACATGATGGGTGGATGCTGCAGTGGTGAAGGAGCAAAAGGGCGATTAAGAGTCGGGAGAAAAACAATGGGAGAGGAAAAAAAAAAAAAGAAAAACGGGAGTCTTGTCTCTGATGTCTGTTGCAATTAATATCTAAATGTGCAATTCCATTAGTCACTGCCATGGGGGACTAGGGGGGTGCAAAAGATGGGGTGGGTGGGGTCTGTTCTACTTGGAAAGCTTGCTAATGACTCGAATGAGCGCTCCGTTCTCGTCCTTTAGTCTCTGGTTGTCTGCTTTCAAGTCTGGGAGCATCTGAAAGGGGATAAAGGGAAACAGGAGAGAGAGAGAGCAAGAGAGAGAGAGAGAGAGCAAGAGAGAGACAAGGCTTAGACAAGTCTCGCCACGTAAACAGGTTAAAAAACAGCCACGCCGCTTTCTCCCCCCCCTTTTTTTTTTTAAAACAAACTGTTAATTGCAGTCTGTGTAAAGCAATCTCAGGAGTCACACACAGCATCTCACTTTTGGCCGTCTGACTTTGATTAAAGAGGAAAAAACAAAACCCAACATCTTTGTTCCAAGTCAAAAGTAAAAGCGGGCACACAACAGGCCAAAGATTCTGGGAAAGCCATGCAGAATCCAAGCGGCTGCTGCAGGCAGCCTCAAAAATACACACAGCAGAGGGGGAAAAAAGTCACATCTGATCAAGTGCAAATCTGTTAAAATGTTTAACGTTAATGTTCCTGACTTAAGGCCATTATACACATGCTCATCGTCTGCAGAAAATTATTCCCTAGCTCAGAATCATGCAGACTTGCTGCCAAATGCAGTGATCTGATTGGTCAGATCAGTTTAAAAATTGCAGTCTGTGTGAACGGCTGCATTAAGAACACGCGAGTCGAAAAACACTCTCACGCACGGATTCCAGCTGATCTCACCTTCAAAGCTGTCTACTTGTGCACCACTGCCTCATCTCCAGTACGGCAGCCAGTTTTAGACCGCTTCATAAAGATCCTGTTCTGACAACTTACGCCTCAGATTTTATTGAGATTTTTAAGTTGTGCAGACAGAAAACACTGATTTCTGTCTCAAACATTCACAGCGAGGATCATCACTGGCAGTTAAAGCTGCTGGGGCTTCTTGCATCGACTGAAGATGCTACTGTCTAACTTTTAATATGGGTTCTTACTGTAGCATGCTGGCAAACCGCCTGAACTGTGGAACGTGTCATTGCGTGCTAATCTTCCAACACCGCTCACTCAGCTTGGGGGCCTGGCTCTTTTTTTTTTTTAAACTCTTCTTCAAAATGCAATGCAACTTCCACATTGCCACGAACACACATGCAAGTGGTCAGAATGGGATTTTTAGAGAGCGATCTAAAAAGCAGCTGCTCCACAAGCGGTGCAGGGCTGCACAACAAGATGACCCTGAAGAGGAGATGTGCCAAATTTAAATCAGGTAATCAGTTTTAAATTTGCAACGGGCAGAGATGCAAAACTTTGTGATCACAACTCAAATTTGAGAGTTTAATTTAAGTATAGCCAGATTATGCATCAGTTTCCTCTTCTTTATGACATCTACTGAACTTCAGAACACATTCTTTTAAACATGTGCATATTAATGCATTACAGGCAGCAACACGGAGCTGAATGAGCTGTAGTAAGTAAGCCAGACTTTCTCTTGCCCCATAATTTATGAATCCTGGAACTGGCTGTCAGTTGTAAAGTTTAAATATCTCCCATAAAAGCACAATAAAGACTTGAAAAGTTCCTATTTGGACAGCAGCATGCTTTCAATATGATTAGCTGATTAAATAAATGACTTAAAATATTCGTACAAGGGTGTAAGACATGTTCTACAGTGTTTAGAGGAGACTGCCCCAGAGACCCAAGTCCTGCTTGATTTCATATAAGGACTGACTGCTTGTTTAACTTATGACACTGAACACACTATATTATGTACAAGTCCAAGATAAAACCATACGTGCATGCATTCGTCTTAAATATTTGTTGATGTCATTTGGTAAACTCAACAGAAAAGGAGGGGAGGATAAGGTGGGTTTGGTCTCTGAAGGTTTGGGTCCAAAGAGTTGATGCCATAGGAAGCCACTTCATGCAAAGAAGCCAAAACAAGCCAAACAGAACTACTGAGCTCCCCCTGAAGTAATTATCACAAGTAGAAACTTCAAAGAGGACACTTTCCTTCACAGTACAGTCAGACCTGTCAACCCGCAAACACTTACCTGAGCTTTGCTTTATTCCGTTATCATTCACATGTTATTTGAAATATTTAGGATAATGTTTTAATGCGTTTTGGAGGTGTGGAAACCACCTGACAGGTGTGTACTGCAAAAGGAGAGTGTCCTGCTGCGAAAACCAAAGAAAGACACCCTCCCCAATCTGAAAACAAAAAGCTCTGGGGAGGCAGAGGGGGGCAGAAAGGGTTGTTTTTCAAAACCAGTGATTGCTGGACGGCTGGACACCTGCCTGTCTATGGGTGCGGGGCAGAGCACGAATGGAGCATGAGAAGAATGGGGTTGCAAGGGGGGAGAGGACAAGGAGGAGAAGAAGAAGCAGAAGAGGAAAAAGAGAGAAGAAGAAGAAGAAGCAGGAGATGGTGGTGGACAGACGGACGTGGCTTAGAGGTCGACGGTGGGCAGCTGGCTGCAGGCCGACTGCGAGAGCTTTGCCACCACGCGGGCCAGGGCCCGGTTCTCAGCCTGCAGCCGCTCCTTAACCTGGCGTAGGGCCTGAACCTGCTTTACCTGGGGGAGGTTCTGCAGGAGGGAAAAAAGAAAAGAAAAAAACCAAACACAACACAGAAAGAACAAAGAAAGAGGAGAAGGGACAGGGCGAGAGTGGCAGGAGAGGAAACATGTTTGAGGAGACAAAAATCAAGAGAGAAAGGATTAATGAAAGACAGGACAATATAAATTAATAGAGAAGAGGGGCCGAGAGAAGGACAAAGGGGGGAAACAGAAAAGGAAGATTGTTAGAAAATGGGGACAGATTTTGGAAATTGAAGGAATGATTAAAGAGGTTCAGCTTGATGCTTGTCGACAGAATGGAAAAGTGACACTGATAAGATCGGCCAGCTGGCTAAGCCCTAAAAATAAACACTTTGTTATCACAGTGATGGGAGAACACATGCTTGCTACGGTTTAATAGATTTCTTCCCCCTCTTTTCTTAGCTAAAAAACATTTTCCCAAAAAGAAATACATAATTAATCATCCTTAAATGTTAACAGTGGACAAATATTACAGCAGCTGACCTCAGATGTGCCCTGAAGAGCAGAAGGTGAGATTAGCAGGTGTACAAATGGAGACAGAGGTGGTTAACTGTGCCAGTCCAAATATAAAAATCTAAACAACTGTGCCTAAGATTAATATATATTTTTAATTATTCATTTAATATGCCAAGAGTGAGGTGTTTTAGTATGAGCGAGTCTAAGAAGCTACACAAAGAGGGATGCACCGCGACTAATGTTTAAAGTAACAGCTAACAGTCTAGTTTGACTTTGATATTTTCCCTGTTTTATTTCCAGGGATACAAAAAAAAAA